CAGACCCTCTTAGTGATCAAGAGGAGGCCGAAGGACAGGCTTCTGTCCTGGCACATGGCTAAATTTAGTGGGAATTTAATGCTACAGAGAGGCCTCATAACATAGGCAAACTCTGGGTTGAGGATAACCACCTCAGAGTGCACAGTGCCAGAGCTGCTACTGCTACTGAGGCATGCTGCAGCAAAAAGTTCAATATTTGCAATGACTTTCTTTAGTCAGTTAATGATATTAAGTACTGTGTTTAAAAGTGAAATCTTACTGTGAAGACATTATTCATGTACTCGTATAAAAAAAGAAAAAACTTTACAATGATAACACTCACCACCATACTCTGCCCATTCATTTGGGGGTCCTGAGCAGATAAGAAATGCCCACAGTATGCTGAACTACAGAACCACAATATTTTAGTAAGGATGAGTGCTGCCAGAAGTCCTCTGACATCTAGTGTATAAAGTTTGGTATGAATTGTAAATCCCACAAGGGCTGAAGGCAGACATGTTTTTAAGTCTTGAAACACCATCAGCAGGATGCTGTTCTATTACAACATTGTAGCTGAGTGGTTGGGGTCAGAATTTCATTTAGGCAAAGTCATTGTTGGATAACTGCCCACTCAGCTTCATTCATTCACATACAGTATGTATACATATAATGCATTTCAAGGCCTCTGTAACATGGTCTTGAAACAAGGAGGGACAACAGTAAGGATTTAACCAACCAGCATAGCTGGTTCTTTTCTCAGTCTCTGAAGTCTATCTAGAAGACACAGCCAGACATGTCTTGAAGAAAGTGCCCACGAAATGAAAAAGGATGGAGAGAGAAGGATTTTTCAGAACATCAGTTAAGAAGAAAGTCTAATTTACATATGGGACTAAAGACTCTACAGATGTGTACAGGATGAAAACATAGCTTCAGGCAGACATTTATTAGGAAATCACTAACTTCTAGCATGACCCCTGATATTGGTCTGTTAGATATAAGAGCCCTGAACCTCTACTTCCTGTTCTCATGATGTTCTTCTGATATTTTAAGAATAAGGATTGATATTCTTGTACACGGATCCTAACAACAAAAACATATGTAGATGCAAAATTAAGATTCTTGTAAGATGGAGTTTTAAAATTCTCCTTCAGGGCAGAAGAATGCTATGAAGTACTGCGCAGAGCAGAGATCTGAGGAGCTGACAGAGCTGGGACTGTTCAGCCTGCAGAAGAGGAGGCTTAAGGGGGTTTCCTCACTGTGATAGTGGAGGAGAAGATGGAGACAGGCTCTTCTCTGGATTTTCCACTGACTGGAGAGAAGGCATTCGGCACTGAGATGCAGGGAATTCCACTTTGAAAACTTTTGTCTTTCACTGTGAGGGTGACTGAGCATTGGCAGAGGTTGTTCAGGGAGGTTATGCAGTCTCCAGCCTCGGAAATATTTAGAATACAGTCCTGGGCAACATGCTGTAGCTGATCCTGGTGTGAGCAGAGGCTTGGACAAGGTCTCTAAAGGTGCCCTTGCACCTCATGTTGGCTCTACTATCTAAACTCACAGCAGTTCAGGATGAAGGAGCAAGATTCTGTTTGCGGGACAGTTTTCTCAGACTGCTCAGCCACATTAGTTTTTGTTTGGTGCTACCTAACAGTTTTGCAACTTGATGTCTCTATGTGTTGCCACATTAGGACATTTAGATCTGCTACATTTTTCTGTGTCTTTGCTAAGAGCTAGTGTCCTGAAAAATGGTCTCCAACTTGAGGTTTTTCCTCTAATTTTAACAGCTCTCAAATTTTGGATGGTGTTCTGAAAGTCCAGATCTCCTATGCTAGAGACTAAGAAACTTGGCACTTGGAAAAAACATTGCCCAAATGTACTATAAGTGTCTGATCAAGATACAATTAGTAAAATCATTTTTGTTGACAAGACTACAAAACACACATTTGACGTGGTTTCTCCATTGCAGAAACCTCACTCTTTGCTGTGAAATGTCAGCCAAGTATTATGAAGTGATATCTTCCGACTGGAGTTGGATTTTTAAAATAAGCACTCTTTCTATTAATCAGTTTTATGTGAACTTCAGAAATTACCAACATAGATATTTTACTTAACTTGGGAAAATTTAGAAAATAGAAATAATTTTGCCTAACAGCTCTGTGGTATACCTTGGATTTGCTTACATAACATTAAGAATACGGAGTGAAACTCTACCCTTGCTGAAGTCAAGAGTTTCATGCATGAACTGTAAGTGGCAAGATTGAAAAGCTGTAAATATTCACGTTGCTTAGAATTAATGATGGAGCAAGAATATATAGAATGCTAGTTTTCAGACACTTTTTGAGAATTTTGACAACTCCTTTTAGAGGTACGCTCCTTTTAACTATTTCATAAATTTCATTAATTTTTATCTCACTCTAACTTTGAAAAGAATGAGTTTTGCTATGTCATAGAATTCAGTTTTATCTTGTTACAAATGACCACAAATAATCCCCTTTCTTTATTTATCTGGGGATATCCTAAATAAGATGTGCTTCTTACTTTGGTTAATCTAAAGAAAAAACTGTCAGTTTATCCATTTATCCAACTAGTACTGATGTATTTTAAGTGAATTATGTCACTTCAACAGTAGAACACTGGTAGAACTCAAAAAGCAAATTGGCTAGAATAACAGCCTAGCACTAAATTAATAGATGAGTGCTACTCTTATAAATCAGAGCTTTTATCCAGTGAGCCTGGATGCAGCTGTGAATAAACAGGAAAGCTCTGCAGCTGCTCTCCCATCAGGTGATCTAGTCAGTGGGCACACTTGCTGACATTAATGGATGAAAGTTTCTCATAGTCATTAACATAAATCTGTTGCTGGAACTGAGTACCAGATTTAAGTAAATTATTGCTTTCAGGCCATCATTGTGGTATTAATGAAAAATTTTATGACTTACATAAAATTTATTTTTGTTAAGGAAAAACTTTTAAACAGCATCAGGGTATTTTTGGAATGGGAAATACTGCTGCTTACAAGTTGATACCCACAAAGTATCTGCTGGTTTTTGTTAACATCATGTGGTATGTCCATAATCACAGAATTGCAGGGGTTGGAAGGGACCTCAAGAGATCACTGAATCCAACTCCTCTGCTAAATCAGGTACCCTACACACAGGTAGGCATCCAGACAGGTCTTGAATATCTCCACTGAAAGAGGCTCCACAAAGTCTCCGGGCAACCTGTCACTCTTACCACAAAGAAGTTCTGCATGTCAATATGGAACTTCCTATGTTCCAGTTTTAGGCCTTTGGAGCCTGCAATGGTGCAAATGGGCATTTCTGAGCATCACTGACTTTATGGCTGTCTGGATTTCTGTGTTTAGGAGACAGAGAAAAGGAACTACAAGTACTGTGCACAATTTTTCTGTGCATGGTTAATGAACTATGGTCAATTAGTTATTAATGGCTACAATTTATCTTCTCATTCTCTAGATAGCTTTGCAGTTACCTCAGACTATAAAAGATGTATTTTTTAAAATTTTTGCTTGAATATGTGTATGCATCTAGTCAGATATACATTTGTAGTTCACCTTCAAAGAGCAGCGAATGAAAACCGTCAGAACAAATTCATTGATATTTTTCATAGCCTCAGCTTGACTAACAAACTGCTGCCAAAGTAACATACCAAAGCTAAGCGAAAAGTGGAAAGGAAGTTGCCAGGTATATGGCTTGTAAAAGCATGAGGCTGATGTAACCCAAAGGGATTGAAGATGTTTCAACAATGGCATTATGTGGCTTCTTGGATGAAAAGGAGTTTGTCAGGAATTTGGATAGGGGGAGAAAGAGAGGAGAGAAAGATATGACATCTAATGATGGGCAAAAATTTTAGAGTTTTCTTTTCTCTACATTATGCATTCAAAGCAGATGTTGTAGTGTGCACTAACAGTGTTCTTTAACCTTGCTTTTTCTACATAAACAAGTCTCAAAATCAAACTGTTCCTCAGACCAGGATAGATATCCAAGCTGAGTGCTGTTGGTTTTGGTAAAGCTGTTAATGCATTCTATTGTGGATGCACTACATTAAACAAATGCTAAGTCTACAAAATTTTCTTAGAATTTCCAGAACAGACCAACTCCTCCCACAGTTCACTGGGAAAGTAACAGTGGTTCAGCATAACAATACAGGAAACATTCTCAGAAATCCTGTCAGTGCATCTATATGACAATACTGGTGAGGTCAGGTCTAGTGCATTAAAAAATATGCCAGTAACTGACAAGCTTTGTAGTCATACCATAACTTCATTGGGGCAGAATTGGCAAATAGTGCTAGTGAAGTATGAAGGAGAACTGTGAAATTTGTTCTGATTATATGTTAAACAAACAAAAGTTCAGGAAAGTAAAGGTAGATATTGTTGGGGATGAGTTTGTGAAAAATATGAGAACTGTTGTATTCTTAAATGCTATTGAATAGGTTTTGAGTGATTGTAGTTTAACAATGCTCTGGTCACTTATTTAAACCTTTTTCAGTAAGGAGAAAATCTGGTGTTAATACCAAACAAACTAGAATATGAAAGCAAAAAAAACAATAACAATATTTATATAGGTACAGCATAGGGATAAGATTTTGAATAATGGGTCCAGATTTAGATTCTGATTTTGTTACCAAGGTTAAGTGCCCTTATTCTCAAATATCCCCACTACACAACACGTCTTCCTTGTGTCAAAGCCACGAAAGGTTTTAGTGCATTGCATCTCAAGCATAATACTTATCAGTTGCTTCCATATTTTCTTCAATAATTAAGGAATGGTTTGGATTGGAAAGAACCCATAAATATAATCTATTCCAAACACCCTGCCATGAGAAAGGATGTCTTTCACTAAGTCATTTTGCTCAAAGTCTCTCCAAATCATCTTTAAACATTATCCATGACGGAGTATCCGGAACGTCTCAGGGCAACTTGTTTCAGAGCCTCACAATCCTCCTTTTGAAAACTCCTCCTTAGCGTATCTGAATACGCATCAAGGTTCTTGTGAAACTCTTTCAGCCCTTTCTGAGAAATGCCTTTACTCATGCAGATGTTGTGATGTGTCTTTGCCACTTATCAGATTTCATAATGCATCCAAGGGATGAATGGGGAGCTAGTACCTGAATATGTCAGCCAGGGACTCACGTAGTTCAAAATCTTTCCACCCGCTATGAAGAATGTTATGTGCCTCTGTGTGACTCAGATCATTATCTTTTGTTCAGCTGGTTGCAGAATATGACTCTCCCTCTTTTGTAAACACTGTGTTTCCAATTTTTATATTTGTATATTTTTGCATTTGTCAGTGAGTACATCTGTTATGTTATTGGATAAAAAAATTATTGTGGTACCTCAAACAAACCAGCAGTGTTCCATTCCACAGGAAAATGACAGACATGATAGCAGATGAAAATGATGCCAGAACTTGGACTATGGCTCTGAATCAGCAGGAGGAGCATACTAAATAGCGTTCAAATTATGGCATGGACGTAAAAAAGGAAAATATTGTTCTTGCAAGAATGGAACTTACATTTGGTGAATAGCATAGTGCAAATTAACTGAAAAATGTATTAGTCTGACTAAACAACCAAGTAGAGACTAACACAAATGCTAGTATTTCAGATATCGAGACCAAAAGGAGAGGAATTATGGAAAAGTCTACATTCTTCCATATTACAATCACACACTTCTTCACAATAAAGTGTTTCCTGATATTCAGAGGGAACCAGCTGTGTTTCTGTTTTTGCCCATTGGGAACCACAGAAATGAGCCTGGCTCCATCTTCTTTACTCCCTCCTATCAAATACCATCTTTTATGGCACTGTATGATCTTGGAATGATGTATCCTTCCTACAGAAGTTTACCTGAACAACACAGCTCAATTACTGTTGATGGTTAATAAATACCCAGAAGTTTATAAGAAGATATCACTAAGTATGTGATTCTTGACTTTTCATTCAAAATCACATCCAAAGTGACTAACCAAACTATGTGCTGTACTCTTTAGTTTGGGAACATTTTGTTTTCTTTGTGAGTGTAACATAGCAGGTATCAAGGACATTTTGGATGTTTTCAACTGCCCCATTTTCCTTGCCTGAAATGTGGTTTCTTTAGCAACAAGATATTAGGAAAATCTCTTATTTCAGAGAAATTGTCCACAAAGACAAGGAAAAGAGCCAAAGAACAGTGTTTCATCGATATATTTACCACACCCCATAGAAAACAGAGTGGAAGAAAACATTGTTGTCACTGAATCCTTAATCACAAGAAGACAAACTATATGCAGAACATTCTACGATTGTCTAATGTTGGTCTTCAAAGTACCCAGTGACAGAGTCCACAGTGTCCTGGGACAGGTGGTTCTAGTCCTCCTTCTGCTTTCTGACACTTTTGTTTCTTGGGTATCAGCTACAGCACCAAAAAACTATGCAAAAGACAGAGGGGACAGTTTGTACAATTTATTACTTTTTACATATTTAAAGAGTGTTATCAACCGTACCAGCCACCCCTCTTCCAGTCTAAACATGCCAAATTCCTTCAGTGTACATTTTCATCATGCCTTCTACACCGTTAGCAATTCTTCTTTGTATTTTTTTCTAACTGGTTTATGTATTCCTTGAAACAAAAGACCTCAGAAACACACCACTGTGTTCCTCCTGTGGTCTTATCATACTGAGCAGACATACATTACAGATGAAATTTCTATTTGTAATTGCCCTTTTCCCCAGCTAAATGGCACTTCTGTTTCATACACAGTTTGTAAACTATTATAACCCTCTGAGTTTTTCCTGAAGAATTGCTACTCAACAGGTTGATCACATCATTTGCACAGAATATTTAACTACCTTAGTATGTCTACTGGACTACATCCTAATTTTTGGACTGTGTTTCCAATTTGTGAGGTTTGTACTACTGCCTTCCGTTGTGCTTGAGGGTGTTCATGCTTTGGTGTCTGTGAAAAAGAATAATATCTATCCGAATCAAAACACTACTTACAATAACCACTTAGTCTTGCACTGATTTTACTATAGTTCGCTAAGACCACATTTCTTAAAACTGCTTATGTTATATGAGAAGGTGTCAAAATTCTGACTACAGCTGAGAGATATCTGGCAACTATCGTCCACAAGGCCTCTAATCTGTCATAAGTAGAAGTAAAGCTATTTTGGAGAGGCTTATTCTCAACAAAATCATGTTGGCTTTTACTCACCTCCTTGTTATCTTCCAAGTGCTTACAAATAGTTCAGTTGATTATTGTTCCAGAACTTTTTCCAGGAACTGAAGTTAAGATGACTCCTCTGCAATCCCTGACTCTTTCTCATTTCTGAAGATAGGCTCTGTATTTGCTATTTTCCAGGCTCTCAAAACTTCATCATTTTCCTGGTGGGTTAACAAGACAACTACTAGTAGCTTGGAAATTATTTTAACCAATTTTATAAGTGGCCTTAGGTAAATCACATCAGGGACAATTAATTTGACAACATCTTAGTTGCATGAGTGTTCTTCAATTTCTTTTTCCTATTTGTTGTTGAACTTCTGTATGGGAACTACTGAGTCACAAGCTGAACCTCTGATTGATCACCTGAGGTGAGCCATGACTCAGCCAGAGGAGCACAGGTGAAGGCAATTCACCTGTGCTGCTGGAAGGAGTGGAGCCAGGCTCCACTTGTCCTAGACCTATTTAAGAGCTGGCTACCAGCAGCAAAGGATCTTGCCTGGAGATCCCTCCTTCTGGTATTTTGTGGTGAGCCCAGCATAAGGGTAAGCCTTCCATTTATTCTCTCTTGTTATCATAGTCCACTTCACCTAACTCTCTTGATTATATTGTGATTGTAACATCTTGATATCCATCAATTATACAACTCCTATCTTTTTATTACCAATATTACTTGCAACACCATTCTGACCACAGTTAATTTTTGAATGACAAAGCTGCCACCATTAATAAATTTTTCACAGTGTTTACCTCTCCTTCAAATGTCTTGGAAGAGATAACAAAACATAACTATTTTATGAATAAATTGATCCATTCTAATGTCATTTACAACAGACTAAATCACGAGGTGTGTTTTTCAAGTAATTGCTGTTAAGGTGGGAGAAGGCAGAAAGACCTATCAGAGGAAATAAACTAATCTGAGTAAGAATTCCCAGAGCTTTGAAAGCTTGTATTTCGTTAAATTAAGTTTCATCGTTGATCAAAGAAATATTATTATGGTAAGCAGTTTGTGTTAATTTGCAGCTTTTACAGTGATAAGCATTGTAACAACTCTGCAAAACTGCTAAATAAAAGGAAAATGTATTAAGCATACTTAGAATGTGATCTCCTGGACTTCATGAAGAAGTGCTCCCTATTTTTGTACTTAAAAAAGTAGGTTTTCAGAAATAATATTTCCAAAAGTTAAAGGAATAATGTAGTGTAAGCCAACTTTTGCAGGATCCATAAATCCTTGCATAAATCTTTCTGATGGGAAAATCTTTAAATCTTCAGCTTCTAGGAAAAGAAAGAATGTTGATTCTGGCACAGCTCTAACTGTTAACCATCTACCAATCATTTTTCATGATTTACCAAAGATGAAGCATTAAGCACACATGTTCAAATTCCTGATGGTGGAGATGTATAAAAATGTGACAGGTTTATTTAGAGAATTTTAGATTCACTATCATATCATTTACCTAGTTGGAGAAGCCTTAATTGATAAGTCATTTACATTCACAGATGCACCATTCACATCCTAACCAGATAAATAAATGTAGGCTTTCATTAGTTAATATACCTATTTATTCAAAATTTTGTTCTTTTGTAGAGTTAAAATCTGCTTTTGGGACTCAAGTCAACTAAAGCTTACCTACATCTGAATAGTCACAGTTTTATATTACATCAGGCATTTGCTAGCCTTGGAAACACACTCAGGGTTTTTGACTTGCCCCAGCTGGAAGTGACTGCATAAAATGATGTAGGAGAGCCATGCTGAGCAGGGGCAAAAGGGAGTTACAGCTGCTCTTCTCATTGTACAAGACTGCCCTCTTCCTCATCCAGTTGTTTATTCCTTTAGTGTTAGATAATGACTGGATCTGTCTTCTCCTCTGTAATGATGATTGTAGCCTAGCTCATTTCCTTGGGAAATAAGAGCTCTGAGACTGAATCTCTCAAAAATATATCAGATCTGACCTTTGAGTGATGGGCTTAACCATGAAGCTATTAAACAAAACAGGACCCTATATTCACTTCTTCAGAAGATAATGCCCAGCTCCAGGCATCCAGCTTCTGTTTTTGCCTAGCATTTCCAGATGATTACCTCTAAACATGTACTTTCCAATGGAGAGAAATGCAGATCTGCTTTTCAGTTGGAATCTCATGTATTTAAATATTTGAAGATTTAAATAAATTGACTGGAGAACTGATCTCCAGTCACCTGCAGTCTTGGACATTTCAGATGTGTGCTTTGTATTGCCCATAAAAATGAATCAGCTAGGATTTCTGCCGGTAAAATTTCTTATTTTGTCAGATCATGTTCAGGAACTCTAATTTCCAAGATTCACATTTCACAACAAATTCTACCATATAGAGGAGGTGGGGATTTCTATGCTTTCAGCATCTACCATCTGGTCCCACAGCCAAAGGTGCTCCAAGTTTCCGGACACCTTCTTACATGAACAGAAATATATCATGGAAATATTTTTTCATACGGTTTTCTTTCTACTTTAGAGAGAAGATCTTAAAAACTATGAAACAAAAACAGTAGAAAGGTTTCCCAAGAAAAGAAAATTTTCAATTTTTATTAACACTACTTGGATGTAGACTGAGCAAACATCTAAGGGATTAAGGATCTGGAAGGACTATTGGGCTGTCTGGCATACTAAACTTTCTGATATTTAGAGATTTATAATGTTGTAAATAAACTATTTATGTGAAAATTTCTTCAGCTATCTACCTTCGGCTGAATAGTTTTAGAAAATATCCAGTAAGACAGTTCAACTGATGATAATAAATACTTAGAGAAAAGTAGTGACTTATATAAATAAAGTAAAAATCAATTGAAAAACCTTCACTCATTCCTCACGATCTTCAAATTTGGCATAGTATCTGAAAAAATTCCTCTGTGTGCAGAGAAGGAAAAGGGAAAGAGGTAAACACAGGCAGAGGTGGGCTGCCATTTTTTGACTCAGCAGGGTCTCATGGCTGGCATTAAGCCAGAGCTAAGAAGCTGATCAGGATGGAGCTGAGTCCTGTTGAGCTAGCTGGATTTTTGAATCAAGCTTCCAAGCATCTTCAAGCATGGCAGTGCATACACTCAAGTCATGGTTTTATGCCTTTGCAAACTGTTTTGCCCAACATAAATAAAAAATTTTCCCCAAAGCCTGGAATATTCAGAAGCTCAACAGGAATAGCTAAGAGCTTCAGGACTGAGCTCTGGTCTGTCACAATTTATCTGGTATATAGAAGCAAGAAGCTCACCAAGTTTCTGCCAGACTCAGCCTTAATCTGGCCTGGCCAGCATGTTCCACTTCTATTATCCAGGATAACTCAATCTCATAACAGATAATAGAGAATTGACTATGGAGACATGAAATTAATTTCTTGCTCCATGCTACTACTTCAAGAAGAGAAGTAGAGCAGTAGTAGTTTAATTTACAATCTTATGATTCAGCACTGGAAAGTACTTATTGTGTCTTTGACTCGAGTCCCTCACTATTTCAGAAACCCTGTACACAGATTTATCTTAAAATTGTTTCAATTTCTGCCCATACTATAGCTCCAGGAAAGTAATTACAGCATAGCACTGATATGATTATTTGAAATATTACGATTTCCAGATAAAGTTCCTGGCTTGTTCATGTGTGATGGCCTTTCTGCCAATATTGTTCTTTAACATCCTTTCCCCTTCCACAGTGCTTAATCTCTTGATGTATTCATAGTAAGTAATTAAAAGAACAAAACAAACAACTACATATATCACTCCAAAAACAATGCCTTCTATTTATTTCTATGAAAACTACAACAGATACAAAAAGCACAATAACACTATTTGAAAGAGCAAATTATCAGCTACAGAACACTATTTTTCAGCATAGTGATCACCATTGGCTCTGAGGTTTCACCAGTGATGAACAAGAACCTGTATGCTGTGCTTATAAAAACCTGCACCAGAGGAGGTGACCCACTGTTTCACAGCTGTGGTGGTGTTATCACTGCAAGGAAAATGTTGCCTGTGAAATTTTCCTTTCATCGGCCAGGACAGATGGAAATCAGAAGGCATCAAATTCAAACTATACAGTTAGTATGATAGGACAGCCAAGCCAGCACTGGAAATATGTTCCACAGTCCTCAAACTGATATGGGAACTGATGTTATCATGTTGCAAGATAAAGACTGCACTGTATTCTTCTGTGGCCTGACTCTGGAAGATCAAGCCCTCAGCTTAGTGGCATGATATAGCAGTCAGAGCTGATGATTTATCCAGGTTCCAGAGAATTGAGAAGGATCATTCTCTTCCTATACAAAAACATACTGCACGTCACACTTTTTCTTCAATGGAGAGTTCACCTGTCATCACTCCACAGATTGCTGTTTTGACTCCTGCTCACAATGGTGACACGTCTCATCACCAGTAATGATTTCATCCAAGAAATTGTCACCTTCAGCCTCATATGGGTTCAGTGTGTGAGCATCCATAGCACTAACCTGGAGCAAACTTTGCAATATTCCAATGTTGCCACCATTGTGTCCCAGTGCATTGAAATTGTTATTCAGCTCCAAACACAGTTCTCTGGTTGTAATCCATGATTTGTGTGGATGAGCAGATTGAGACACTCTTCATTTCGTGGTGTGACAGCTGTGCATGGCCATCCGGAACATGGCTTGTCTTTTATGTGGCTGTTGCCACTGCTGAAATGCACCACCTACTGTGCTCACATCTACTGTTTGGTCTCCATAAACCTTCGGCAAGCATCAATGAATGTCAGTGAGTGCTGTTTTTTCTGCATGGAGGAATTTGGTGGCAAACCTTGGCTTCATTCGCAGTTCCATGACAGGCATCAAGTAGACAGACTGCCTCTCTGCTGCCATGTCACACAGCAACAACATGTAACAGAATATGGAAAGGTCCAGGTAATTAACATCTGTTTCTTGGTAGGTGATGTCAGTTACTTAGTAATCAGCGAGAAGTGATTGTAAGTTGATGGTATCTGGGACAGATTTTCTTCACTGGGGTTGAAACACGCAAGCCAAATAACTCTCAAGCAGGATAAGGTCACCTGTTGGTCACTATTCTATTTTTCAAAAAAACAATTTGCAGGGTTCCAGGCCTTGCAAGAGTTGAAATAACATGCAGGGAAGAAAGAAACTTCTGTCTCAGAACTGTTACAGTGTGATCCTTTAGCAATCTAATTTTGATAGAACTAATAGACTGCCTTTTTCTTTTTTTTTTTTCTCCAAATATTGAAGATCATAAAGTGAAACATAACTTGATTCCTTTATTCTAAGATTCTATTCACACTAACTAATTGCAAGAGTGGAAAAAAATGTATTGATACTGGTATTTTTGCTTTATTTTGCTCTTATAACAAAGTTCAATTCCTTAAG